CTTCCCAGATAAAATTCAGCCTAAGCTAATTAGAGAAAGCAAGAACTCTTTAGGAATATAATTGCAAAATACTCTGACCTTACAATGCAATGCTAAAACAAAGAATTTTCTTTGACGAGTGACTAGATAGTTTTAACAATTACCTGAATCTAGCCCCCAGTAGAATAACTTCAGTCACAGAGGAGGTAGGAACTGGAAAGCCAGAAAACAGTGAAAGCCCAAACAGTTCAATCTTATCACACTTAAGAGTTTTCATCAATTTCATCAATTGGAAATGAAGGAGCAATTCATATCAGAAATTTGCAATGTCATCTGTATGCAATGTTGCTATAGAGAAACCTATACTCGGCTGGCATCCCAGAGTATGCTGGTTCTTAGAGGTGCATGATCTGAACCCTTGAGTGGTGGGTGGTGGACATGTAACTCCTGTGAGGGATCGGCCTCACCATTGAGACTAGATTCTGGCTCTCAGCTGGGGTGGGTCAGGTGAGGGGACAGCAGATCCTGTCTCCTTCTGGGGTGCCACCTGCCTGTTTACTTGGCATGCCTCTCTTCCAGGCCCATTCTAGCTTCCATTGAGCTTTTTCTTTCTCTGCATGTGTCATGACTCCAACCGTCCTCATCACTTACCTCCTAGGTATGTCCAGCCTACACCTCTCTGCACCCATCTCTCTCTTCTCTGAACCCCTGTCACACCACACAATTGAGCACCCACTGTATGGCCAATCATTTTATGTAGCTAGTCTTTTTTTTTTTTTCAATTTATTTGGCTTTCTCGGGTCTTAGCTGCAGCATGCAGGATCCTCATTGAATCAAGTGGGATTTCTCGTTGCGGCCCATGGGCTCTGTGGTTGTCACGGGGGCTCTGGGGTGCGCAGGCTTCAGTAGTTGCAGTGCTCTGTCTTCGTTGCCCTGCAGCCTGTGGGATCTTAGTTCCCTGACAAGGGATCAAACCCATGTCCCCTGCATTGCAAGGTGAATTCTTAACCACTGGCCCACCAAGGAAGTCCCTACGTGGTTAGTCTTGTCTCCCCGTTTGTGTCCATAAGCCGTAGAGGTCACAGTCTTTATATTTCTGTCTTCACACTTCCTAACACAGTAATGTTTTCAATGAATACTTAATATTAACAATAGTTAACCTTTATGAAACTCTACTAGGTGTCAGGCACTCTGCTAAGCATACAATATACATTGCTTTTTCTTTGAGGTATACTATCAATAACTTACAATATTATATTAGGTTCAGATGTACAACATAGCAATTTAAATATATTGTTTCTTTCAAGATATGAGGAAGGTTCTATTATCCCTATTTTACCAACTTGGAAACCAAAGCTCAAAGAGCTAGTTAACTAACTTGCCCAAGGTCACACCATCCGTTTGATCCAGAAACTTGAACAGGAGTGTTCCTGTGTATGAGGCCCTGGTCCTAACCCCCCAGGCGTTGCTTCTCTGGTAGGTGGATGACAGGCCGGTGGCATCTCTCAATGGCTGAGTGTTTCTCCTCTGCCCTCTGCCTGGGCATGATTCAGGAGTTGAGGGAGGTGGCTCAGATGATCTCATCTGGCCACAGGACCTTTGCAAGGATTGGAGACAAATGTGTAAGGTTCTCCCTGGGTGCCTGTTAAACAGGTCCTTTGCAATGCTAATGGCTTTTCTGGAGACAGTGAGCAGCTCTTGGGGGCAGAATGGCCTGTGTTGCCTGATTTTGCATTCCTAGCACACAAGCCTCCTTTTAGGAGTTTTGGGACAGATGATTAAATAACTATTCTCTCTCTCCCTCCCCACCCCAATCTGCTGCCTTCTGTCCACCGAGGATACTTGCTTTATTTTTTTAAATAACTGTCTGGGTTTAAGGATACATGCGAATATTTTCTTTTCCCAGCTGCAGCACGAAGTGCCTGGATGTTTCAGATTCTTGGGTCTCTCAGAGATGGTTCGCATCAACAATAATGTCCTCTTAGGATATGGCTGGTTAGAAATATGATCCAGATTAGTGCCTTCCAAATTACAAATGTAACATAACAATAATACTGAAATATTAAATTATCATCATGAAGGGCTAACATGTATCCAGGGCTTTCTCTTGGCATTCAATCAATATGCTAAGTTTTTAATAAGCTTTGTCTCATTTAATCACCAAAACCACCACCAGATACATATTTATTAATTGTGTGACCTGGAGTAAGTTCTTAAGCTCCCTGAGCTTCAGTACCTTGGTCTGCCAAATGGAGATAACAATAGTACCCGCCTTGTAAGTTTGTGATGATAACCGAATTAAATAATCCACAGAAAGATTAGTGCCGTCCCAGAAAACAAAGAGAAGCTCAGTGTGTGCTCTTGTCACCATTTTACAGATCAGGAATCGAGACCCCCAGAACCTTGCCTAAGCCACACAACTGAGATCTAAACCTCAAAGTGAAATCCATTAACCAGTCTGACATATTGCCTTGCTTGGTTAATTGCTGGTTTAATTTTAATTTTAATTATTTAAACTGTGTCTTTTGTCCTCTCACTGTACTGTGTGTCTGGTTGGGTAGAGAACAGGGCTACAAAGATGAAGGCCAGTGGATACATCCCACACTGGTTATCCTGCAACCCATAATAGAACGATGGGGGCGCTGATGGGCTATGGATGAATCCATGCATATCCATCATCACTATTAGAACAAAGCCAAGCTCTACCGTTAGTAGCTCCAGTTAGGGTGACCCTGTGCCCTAGTTCTCCCAAGCCAGTCTTAATTTATTACAGTCTTTCTGGTGTAATTATTAAGAGTGCCCTCTTCCTTCTAAAAGGTCCATGTTTAGACAATCAATTATGTGGTCACTTCATCCACAGTCATATCATCTTTAGCAAATAAAGGGGAGCATGTTCCTCAGGGGAAGCCTATTGGTATGAATTGTGAGCTACAGTGCTGGCTGCCTACCCATTTACCTGTCAAGCTACCTGCATTTCCACTGATACTTTCTGTGTGGTCTTGGCATTTTCTCAGCCTCTAAGAGTGTACCGTTAAAATCTCAGAGCCCCTGGTTGTCCTGTGTGTCCTCATAGAGCCCTAAAGTGTGCCCCGCATGCCTGTCTGGTTTCCCACCATGCTGCCCTTTACTCTAGACTTGTCTTCACAACCCCTGCCCTGTCTCACCCTGTCAGGAGCTGCTCTCTGCTTGTTAGTATTCTTGGAAGTATGAAAACTGATCATAAGTATGATAGATGGTGTTGCTTTTGTCTTTGTATTACCCATTTCTTGTTCTCTTGGTAAGATCAAGTTTACTGAAGTTTACTGAACCACCCTCTCCTACTCTGAGTGGGGCTGAACCCTCTTCCCCACCCCAGCCATCGGCACATGGCTAAGGCTTATCCATCAGAGTTACAGCTGTTGGTTCTCGGGGATTACGTGACTCACTTTAAGCCAATGAGGAGCAGTCCTGACATTTGGGCTGGGGTGACAGGGGTTGCTAATAGAGTAGGTGGGAGCTACTGAGGCCATCTGAGAATGAATCCAACACAGAAGAAAGCAAAGCTGACAAATAGAAAAAAAAGATTTCTGATATTATTTTGGCATCTGGCTCCTCTGTGCTTACAGTCTACTCTGATTGTTGTTTAGTCCCTGAATCATGTCTGGCTCTTTTGAGACCTGCCAGGCTCCTCTGTCCATGGGTTTTTTCAGGCAAGAATACCAGAGTAGGTTGTCATTTCCTTCTCCAGAGGATCTTCTCAACCCAGGGATCAAACCCGCGTCCCCTGCATTGGCAAGTGGATTCTTTACCCTGAGCCACTAGGAAAGCCCTCTAAAGCTTGGTTTAATTGGCTCTGTAATCAAGGTAGATTCCTGAGTCAAGTAAACTCTACTTTATGTTTATGTCATTTCAAGTCAGATTTCTGTCACTTGCAACCCCAAAAGTCCTGGTAAATGCAACAGGGAAATGTATTCTCTCTCTCAAAAGGTTTACATTTCAACCACAGGCAGGCTTCACCCAAAGAGGTGAATAGGGATTTTAGTCTTCAGTGCCGAGCTGAGGTGACCAGAATATTTTGAAGTGAAGTTAGGCAGAAGAGACAGCCCAATTCTGCCACACCAGGGACTGTCTCATCTGCCTGGCATTGAGACTGGCCCAAAGGAGTGCCTTGGTTGGCTTCAAGGACACAGCCAGCCCTGTGTGATCTCTTCGCCTAAGATCACTTCTCATTGAAATCCGCTCACACTGGCTGTCTTCCTAACCAGCAGTAGCCACCCCCACAACAGGCATCAGGAGTATTACTTTGTGAGAATCAGCTAAGGTGGCGGTTTGTCCTAGAAATGTCATCTCTTATCCTGCCTCCAGTTGCCGGCCTCCCCATGTTTAGCTTTCAGACAGGCAGCTGGACTTGGCAGGAAGAGTCTATTTTTCTGAAAGTTAAAACTGCTCTCCCAGCTGGTGAGGGAAGGGGGCCAGCAAAGAAGATCAGGTCACATACCAGACCAACCTCCTTTTCTTTCTTTTTTTTTTAAGGAGTGGTGTGGCTGTCCTCCTTGTTTTCTTTGAAAGAAGATCATTTTCTGAAGGCAGAGAGGTTGGGCTCCCCAGCAGCCTCTCTCAGTGGGTGGGACCCACTGAAGAATGCAGGGGTGAGAAACGAAACCAAACCTCGGAGGATGGAGAGGACGCATTTCCCATGGACACCAGTTACATCTATTAATGGCTCACAAGTGAGTTCAGACTCATTTTTTGATCCATGGGATTATTTTAAATTGAGCTCCAGAAACAGGCCCTAAGAGCAGGATTCATGTGTAAGTGATTTATTAAGGAGATGTTCCCAGGGAAGCCAGGAAGCTGGGGATGACAGACAGAGAAGGGGAAGAACCCAAGAAAAGGACCATCTCAGGCCAAGTCCCCTTCTCAGCCTGACCCCCCAGGGGAGTTCGGGGGGGTGGTGAATTACACCTCAGGGTGTGTCCCCACTCCAAGGCAAGGTGGCTGGGCTTTCAGACTCCCTCACCAGCAGTTGACACTTCCTGTTTATGGACCACCCTGGAGAAAGAGAGAACTCCCAGCCCTTTCTGGTCCTTTACACTTGTGACCATTTAGGAGCCAAGGCACACAGAAGCCTCGGGCAGGGTGGACAACACACAGATGTGGCGAAAGGATGCGAGGTATCTGGCATGGGCTCCAGCAGTATCAACGTCATCACAGAAGCTTACAAAATGCAGGTTTTCTGGGCTCATCCTTTGGGGAGGATTAACTGGCCCATGAAGAGACCCTTTCTTTCTTTGAGAACTACACCCCTCCAATCCCATCCATCCACCCCTGAGTGTGCATGCACGCACACACACACACACACACACATAATGCCTCCTTCCACAGCTGAGTTCCACTGTCTGCATGACCACAGCCCAGCCAGGGAGATTCTTCCTCCTGAGACTTTGGTCTGGGGACTGATAGGCTCCTGTGACATCTGGCTGTTGGCCTGGCCAGGGATGGAGTGGACTTGAGCTTGGACATGGGCCCAGTGAAGTGGAGAAAACCAATCCACAGAAAGAAAACAGAGGATGTACCAGGTTAATAGCTAATAAATATGAGACACTGCCACTGTTTTCACATGCCTGAGCTCATCTGATCCTCACCACAACCTTGAGGGGTCGGAGCTGTCGTTGTTCTCAGCCAGGGTCGAGGCACTTCAGTCTCAAGTGGTTTAGTAGCTTATCCAAGGTCACACGGCTTGAAAGGGTACAGTCGGGATTCAGTCCTCTGGTTTGACTCCTGGCCCACTCATTGCCCATGGGGCTAGGAGGGTAGATGAGCACTCAGAAGCCCAGGGAGAGTTCATGACTCCTGAGAGCAAGCGAAGGCCAGGCAGTGTCTGACTGATGGTTGCCCAGGTTCCTGGTGGCGATCCTCTCTTCAGACACCTGCTCAAAGCATTTGCTGTATCATCTTATTATAAATCCTCTCCCCTCACTTAAAAAAACAAAACAAAACTCGGATTGTGCTTATAGTGGATTTCTATCGCTTGCAACTGAGACTCTGAAGGAAGACACCTGCTCTTGCGGAAATGAGAAAAAGACTGAAATTTGTCTCCAGGCCTTTTCAACTCCAAAAATTCTTTTTCTGGCTCTGTGCCCCAGGTTGGTTGTACAGGAGTTCCATCTGGGTCAGAGTCCAGGGTCAGAATAGGCAAAGGCCAGGTGATGTGATGCTAGCAGCTGCACAACCAGTAACACCCTTATTCCAGCTTCATCTCTGGGTCCTCCGAGTCAGAGTACAAATCTCCCTAGGAGAGAAAATTCCCCCACAAGAGACAAGCCTTTTCAGGTGGAGGGGATACGAGCGAGAACCAAGGAGGAACCCCAAACTCTTAAGAACCATCAGAGAAATCATGCTGTGTGTTGTGATTAGACTATGTCCAAGTGGCTTGATTATTGCTCTCTACAGACACAAGATAGGGAAAGAATGGAAACAGTGACAGACTGTCTTTTCTTGGGCTCAAAAATCACTGCAGATGGTGACTGCAGCCATGAAATTAAAAGACATTTGCTCCTTTGAAGAAAAGCTATGACAAACCTAGACAGCATATTAAAAATCAGAGACATTATTTTGCTGACAAAGTCTGTCTTGTCAATGCTATGGTTTTTCCAGTGGTCATGTATGGACCATAAAGAAAGCTGAGTGCTGAAAAATTGATGCTTTTGAATTGTGGTGATGAAGAAGACTCTTGAGAGTCCCTTGGACTTCAAAGAGATCCAACCAGTCAATCCTAAAGGAAATCAGTCCTGAATATTCATTGCAAGGACTGATGCTGAAGCTGAAGCTCCAATACTTTGGCCACCTGATATAAAGAACTGACTCATTGGGAAAGACCTTGATGCTGAGAAATATTGAAGGCAGGAGAAGGGGATGACAGAGGATGAGATGGTTGGATGGCATCACCGACTTGATGAATGTGAGTTTGGGCAGGCTCTGGGAGTTGGCAGTGGAAGGGAAGCCTGGTGTGTTGCAGTTCATGGGGTCACAAAGAGTCAGATATCATTGAGTTATTGAACTGAACAGACACAAGAAGAGTCAGCCAGAGTGCTCACTGTCTAACAGGAGAACAGTGTCTACAGCGGGAGAGAATATAATGCAAGGCTGATAACTTCATTTATAGTTGAAGTGAGAAGATCCAGTTTCTTTTAGTAGTCATATTCTATGGGCTTCCCTGGTGGCTCAGAGGGTAAAAAATCTGCCTGCAATGTGGGAGACTTGGGTTCGATCCCTTGGAGAATGGAATGGCTACCCACTCCAGTATTCTGTTTTTTTTTTTCTGCTCCAACTAAATCATTTAGTTTCCCTTGAAAAAAATGACTGAAAAAAACATAACTCTGGAAAAACAAGGCTAAACACAGCATTCTGAGTGTTGCATGACACAACCGACCCTCTACACAACACGGTAATAATGCCCATCAGTGGATATACGTATGTCTGAGGTTTAAGATTCTGTGCATACAGATTTAATAACTGCAAAGAAAAACAGACACAAAAAATTTTTAAAAATAAAAACAGCCAGACAAACACTGCATATACATGATGTCCCTTTTACATTGTACTTTAGAAGGGGGGCCAGCAGCACCCGACCCCCACCCAGTAAACCAAGGGCAGAACCCCACCGACAATGCTGTCACGGCTCTCTGCTCAACTTGGTGGTCGTGGCATCACCTCTGTGTCACCACCTCCCACAGCCGAAGCCTCCACCCCTGGCCACACTCACAGTTGCCCCGCTATAGTATTGTCATCTGGAGAATCCCACGGACAGAGGAGCCTGGAGGGCTATATCCATGGGGTCGCAAAAGAGTTAAACTGAGCAAGAAAACACTTTCACTTTATGGCCAAGGGAGCAGATACAATTTCCTCTTTGAAGCAAGTATTACAACCTCTATACAGGATTAAGCAAAGTTTTATTCTAAACTACTGAATTATAAAGAAAATAGTAAATGGTTATAAGAAATAGAGATTTAAATTTGAGTAAGATCTTCATTCCTTCTCTTTAGCCATTCTATGATACTCCTTAAATGTAATATATACATACTGTAATATATATATATAGATAGATAGATAGATCTATATGGTGAATACATAATACCCTCTAGAATGTAAATAGTCTTTCATCTTTATTTTTGCTGAGCAAGAGATTTTCAACAGAGTATTTACATTCATTAAGAACTTATATCAACAATATTCAACCCTTGTAGCTTATTAAAGACAGTTGTAGCTTATTAAAGACAATTGTAGCTTATACTTCTAAAATTAAGGTTAAAGAAATCTGTCTAAAATTTCTAATCTCCAGAGTTGAACTCACAAAATCAACACCTTAGCAGAAGATACCTTTAAAATGACCATGTGGTTGTAAAACAAAAGAAAAAAGACCTGGTTTTGTCAGTAGTCGTAACCACAGGTGACCAAACTGCAGTTGCCCCCGCTCTGGTATCGTGACAGGGATCCCCAGTCCATCAGCCCAGCCTTGCTCACTAAGCCTGGCAGAGACCTCAGAATTCTTTCCAGAGCAGCGTCCAGAAAACGAATATTAAGCTGTTGGTGATGGCATCTTAGTCTGTATCAGTCTGTGTTCCTTTGAAAATTACAGGATCTTCTGGCTAATCTATGCTAAAGGAGAGTTATGACAGCTCCTAAAATCACTAAGGTGCTGAAGGTACACAATCTAGCCTGAACTTCTCAGAAGAACTGGGAGCTGTAGGCAGCAAGGTCCTAGAAGCACCATGCCTCTGCCACGATCAGGGAGCTTCTGAGTTTCAACCTGCCCTGCCCCCACTGGTTTTAGCAGAATTAAAGCCATTGCACCGGCCCAAAGGCCTACACTCCCTCCACAAGGCGACAGCTTGCTTTGCCCACTTTCTCCTTTAAGACTCACATCAGGGCACCAGCTTTGCCAACTCTAAGTCATGTGAGGATCTCTTAATGCGGGATACTTGTAGGTTTCTGCCCTACAGATCAGGAAGGTGCCTTGCAGGAGGGAAGACAGTCTACAGTTCTGCTTCAGCATCTCACGATGAACCTGCGGCGTTAGATACAGGACGAAAGTACCAGGAGAGTCAGGAAGAACTCTGAACAGTTGGGGTTGGCTAACATTCATCCAGCACTGTCCAGGAGAGAAGGGGCCCCAGTGAGATAGATGTCCGGTCCTTTGTAGAGATAAACCTCTAAAGAGAGGAGAGAGAAGCTCTGGGCCATTGTCACCTGCAAGAGCATGGCCAACCATCTTGCTTTCCTCAGGACTGGAGGACTTCCCAGAATGTACAGCTTTCAGTGCTTCCCCTGGAAAAGTCTCTGGCAAGCCAGAATGCATTGGTTATCTTAACTCAGTGACACTAACCAATAGTATCAGTCAACTAACTCACTCACTTGGTTCAGATTTTACTCTCACCTAGCAACATTCTGGTTAGATTTTGGCTTACTCGCTGTATGGGGGATAATGCCCCCCAAACATTTAGCACAGTGTGTGGTACATAGCAAGCACTCAGTAGATGCTTATCTTTTTGTAGTTTAAGTGTATTTCAGTTTTGAGTATGTCCTGGCTGGATAATCTACATGTTTCATTTCCTTGCTAGTTTTTCTTCCTCTATACTTGAACATGCTTCTCTCTGATTTGCATCCATCTTTCTGTTGAGATTTTGCTTAGGTAGTGTGAGTAGTTTCTGGAGACATCTTCTCCTGGGCCTCTCCGGCTCCCAACCTCAGCACCACATACAGGAACAAGATGGGTCCACCAGAGGTGCTCCCCACTCTCTGAGGCTCCAAGTGGGCAGCTGCTGGTGTCTGGAACATCGCCTTCCTCCGACTCCCTCACATGGCAATGCCCTGTGGTCTAAGCAAGCATCTTGGCTACTTCCTCATAGGGCCAGCTGTGGCGGAGGGAGGAAGCCTGAGAACTGAGGGCTCCCGAGGGCGAGGGCGCTTATCAGCCAGTTGGTGAGGGAGGCCCTTGGAGGCCAGAACAAATTCACCTTCCTGCCCACTACTAGAAGGCTTGTCCTTCCCTGCCTTTTCGGGCCACACTGTCCGCTCCCTCCTCCCCTCCTCCTTTCACCTCATTCACAAGTTCCTTGTCATTTCCTCCCACAGACTTTGCTCCTGTGAGTCTTCGGCCTGTGTTGCCTTTATTCTCAGTCCTCTTTACCACTTGATGTGGCCCGTCTTTCAAGGCATCGCTCAACTGCCTTGGATTTCCTCTTCCGCTTCCTCTTCAGATCCAGTTCTCAGACATCCCGGTTCCCAGCTGACCTGATGCTGCTCTAACCCCAGTGACATAGGATTTGGTAACAGAGTTCTTTGTGCAACCGTCTACAGTCCAGGCTGAATTTTAAGGTCTCCAGGCCAAAGCCACGTATTATGCATCTTTGTGTTCCCAGTACCTAATACAGATTTAAAATCCAAATTAGGGGCTCCCCTGGTGGTTTCCAGTGGATAAGACTTCACCTCCCAATGCAGGGGGTGCAGGTTT